TAGATACAGGTTGAACTCTATACCCCCCCCCCCTATCATCTATTACTGGGCATAACTCTCCTTCAGTAGATCTAAGAATTTTTTCTCTTTATATTGCAGGAATCTCCTCAATTATAGGAGCAATTAATTTTATTGTAACAATTTTAAATATACATGTTAAAACTCACTCATTAAATTTTTTACCCTTATTCTCTTGATCTGTTTTAATTACAGCATTCCTCCTTCTTTTATCTTTACCTGTTTTAGCAGGAGCAATTACTATACTTTTAACAGACCGGAACTTTAATACATCCTTTTTTGACCCTACTGGAGGCGGGGACCCTATTCTATACCAACATCTATTTTGATTTTTTGGTCAACCAGAAGTATACATTTTAATCCTTCCAGGATTTGGAATTATCTCCCATATTATTATTAATGAAAGAGGGAAAAAAGAAATTTTTGGTTCATTAGGAATAATCTACGCCATATTCGCTATTGGATTATTAGGATTTATTGTTTGAGCATATCATATATTTACAGTAGGCCTAGATATTGATACTCGCGCCTACTTCACTTCAGCAACAATAATTATTGCTATCCCTACTGGTATTAAAGTATTTAGATGACTTGCAACTATCTATGGTTCAAAAATCCAATTTTCACCTGCTATAATTTGAAGTATAGGTTTTATCTTTCTATTTACAATAGGGGGATTAACAGAAATCATCCTATCAAATTCATCCTTAGATATTATTCTTCATGATACTTATTATGTAATCGGTCATTTTCATTATGTTCTATCTATAGGGGCAGTATTCTCTATTATTGCTGGATTTATCCACTGATACCCATTAATTTTTGGACTATCAATAAACAAATTATGACTAAAAATTCAATTTACTTCTATATTTATTGGAGTTAATATAACTTTTTTCCCCATCATTTTTTAGGTCTAGCTGGATTCCCTCGACGTTACTCCGATTACCCTGATATATACACCTCCTGAAACGTTATTTCCTCAATCGGATCTATAATCTCTTTTTTTTCTATAATTTTTTTTATTTTTATTATTTGAGAATCCTTTATATCACAACGAATTATCTTATATAAATTTTTTATATCACCTAATTTAGAATGAAATCATTCTTACCCTCCAATAATTCATTCTTATCAACAAATTCCTTATACTACTAATTAAAAATTATAATATAGCAAATTAAGTGCATTGATTTTAAACATCAAACATAAAAAATTTTTAATATTTTTTTATTATAAATTCAAACATGATTAAATTTTTATATTCAAGACTCTAATACCCCCATAAATCAATTAATTATATTTCATGACTACTCTATACTTATATTAATTCTTATTACAAGCTTAATCACCTATATATTTATTTTTCTAATTATTAATAAAATTACTAACCGATTTATAACTAATGAACATTTTATTGAAACAATCTGAACTATCACACCTATACTCTCTCCTTCTTATTGCCATCCCATCCCTAAAAATTTTATATATAACAGAAGAATTTTTTTCTCCAGCTATTACAGTTAAAGCAATTGGCCATCAATGATACTGAAGATACGAATTATCAGATTATAAAGATATCAGATTTGATTCTTATATAATTCCATATAAAAAACAAAACCAATCCCAATTTCGACTTCTAGATGTAGATAACCGCTTAATTTTACCATTTAATATGCCTATTCGAATATTAACAACATCCACAGATGTAATTCATTCCTGAGCCATTCCTGCCTTAGGAATTAAAATTGATGCTACCCCAGGCCGAATAAATCAAACATTTATTCATATAATCCGACCTGGAATTTTTTTTGGTCAATGTTCAGAAATTTGCGGCATAAACCATAGATTTATACCTATTATAATTGAATCAACATCATTAAATTTATTCATTAAATGAATTAATAACATATAATTTTAATCATTAAGAAACTTTAAAGAAGTAAAAGTCTCTTAAACTTTTAATGGTTATTAAAAATTAACCCTTAATGATATAATTAAAAAATATTTCCTATATATTAAATTTAAAAAGATTAGTTAATTTATAACATTTAAATGTCATTTAAAAATTATTAATCAAATTAATATCTTTTTATTCCACAACTAAGTCCATTAAAATGATCTATTCTTTATATTTCTACTATTACTATTACAATTATAATTATTATTAAAATAAATTATTTTTTTTTAAATAAAATTAATCCTTCAAAAAATCCTTCAAAAATTTCCACTTCTTTCCCTTCTTATCAAATAAAATGAAAAACCTTAATCTAATTTAATGATATTAAACTTATTCTCTATTTTTGACCCATATACCTCTATTAACTATTCTTTCAATTGATTAAGACTATTAATTCCTTTATTTTTATTTCCTAACCAATTTTGATTTAAAAAATCTAAAATATTTATATTTTGACTTTCTATTAATAATTTCCTTTTAAAAGAATTTAATAATTTAAAAAAAAATAATCTAATATTATCACTTTTTTTTCTATGTTTATAATAATTTTAATTATAAATTTTATTGGTCTATTCCCTTATATTTTTACACCTTCAAGACATTTATCTATTACTCTTCCCCTCTCTTTAACAATTTGATTAAGAATTATATTATTTTATTGAACTAAAATAACAAACTTAACATTTGCTCACCTTGTCCCTCTTAATACCACATCAATTTTAATGATATTTATGGTTCTAATTGAAACAATTAGAAATATTATTCGCCCTATTACATTATCAATTCGACTATCTGCAAATATAATTGCAGGTCACCTTCTCCTATGCCTTCTTGGATCTACCGGAACTTCAATAAGTCTCCATTTAATTAATTTATTAATCATCACACAAATTTTACTTTTTTCACTCGAATTAGCTGTTTCAATTATTCAATATTATGCATTCACTCTAATATCTCTTTATTCTAATGAATTATAAATGAACAAATCAAATCACCCATATCATATAATTTCAATCAGCCCATGACCTCTAATTTTATCAATTAATATCATATTATTTCTTATTAGATTAATTAAATGATTTTATTTTATAAATATTAATTTAATAATTATATCATCAATTTCTTTAACCCTAACCTTAATTCAATGATGACGTGATATCATTCGAGAAAGAACATTTCAAGGTATACATACATCTAATATCATAAAAAACTTAAAAATAAGAATAATTTTATTTATTACATCTGAAATTTTTTTTTTTATTTCCCTATTTTGAGCTTACTTTCATTCTTCTTTATCCCCTAGAATTGAAATTGAAATAATATGACCCCCAAAAAATATTATTATATTTAATCCTTACGATATTCCTCTTTTAAATTCCATTATTTTAATTACATCAGGAATTACAATCACTTGATCACACAATTCACTAATTAACAAAAAAACTAAAATAGCTGCTTTTACTTTATTATATACAATTTGTCTAAGATTCATATTTTCAATATGCCAATATTTTGAATATAAAAGAGCCCCTTTTACTATTGCTGATTCAATCTTTGGATCAATTTTTTTTATAACTACTGGATTCCACGGAATCCATGTAATTATTGGTACAATTTTTTTTATCGTATGTATATTTCGTATAATTTTTAATCATTTTTCTAGAAATCATCACTTTGGATTTGAAGCTGCTATCTGATACTAACATTTTGTAGATATTGTATGATTATTTGTATATACATGGCTTTATTGATGATCTTTTTACTTATATAGTATATAAATTACACTTAACTTCCAATTAAAAAAATTATTTTCAATAAATAATATAAGTAATAATTATTTTTATTATCTCCCTTCTTCCTTTTACATTAACTATTATTCTTATTACAATCAACATACTTCTATCTTTTAAAATTTTTCAAGATCGAGAAAAGCCCTCTCCATATGAATGTGGATTTAATCCTTTAACCTCGCCCCACCTTCCATTTTCTATCCAATTCTATTTAGTTGCTGTAGTTTTCCTAATTTTTGATATCGAAATTATCTTAATACTTCCTTTCAACCCCTCTCTAACCATAAATCATTACCTATTTTACTGGATATTTTCATTCCTAATAATTTATATTTGTTTAATTATTGGCCTAATTTACGAATGAAATGAACAATCAATTATTTGACTTAAATAAACACTTAGGGTATTAGTTAAAAAATAACATTTATTTTGCAAATAAAAATTAAAATTCATTAAATTTATATCTTTAATATGAATGGAAAATCCAATTTAATTTCGATTTAAATATTTGATTATTAAAACTAATCCATATTATTTATTATTATTTTAAAATTTAATTTTTCGATAAATACTACTCTATAATTAATTTAATTGAAGCCAAAATAGAGGCCAATTATTGTTAATAATTGAACTGAATAATTTTTCCAATTAAATTTAAATTTTACCTTGGCTTTCTCTATTATCAATTAATTTATATAGTTTAACTAAAACATTTTATTTTCAATAAAAAAATAATACATATATAATATTTATAAATTAATTAAATTTAATTTCATATCTTTTAAAGAAATAACTTTATATAAAGCTTCTAACTTTATTATAATGATTAAAAATCATTTTATTTCTAATTTATTTCTTCCTAACTTTTAATTTTTACTCCCTTATTTAAAAACAATTTTTGTTACCGTAATATCTTCAATATTAAACTCTTATCTTAAGCTATTTAAATATAAATATTTAATTATCTATAAATTACTATTATTATAAAAATCAATATTCATATAAATATAAATAAATTTGTATATATAAATTTATCCAATATTAATAAATCAAATAAATTTACAATAAATCTTTTCTTTATTCCATAAATAAATATATATTCTAAGATACCCTTATCAAATCCCTTATATATTAATATAGAAAACTTTAAAGGATAATACCTAATTTTTATATAAATTAGATTTAACCCTCATATTCTAGAAAAAAATATTTTCCTATAATTTCTTAAATTTAATATATTTACAAATCTCATAAATCAACCTAAAATACATCCTATTAAACAAATTTGTATAACTATTAATTTTTCAAATAAATTCAAAATAATTAAAGTAAAATTTATTAAATTAACTAAAAAATATCCAATTATTAAAGAATAAAAATACAAAATAATTAATGATATCCTTATTATTAATCTTTCTCTAAACAAAATAAAATAATTTATTTTATTCATATAACTTAAATATACTATAACAATTAAACGAACACTATATGAAACTGTAAATAATGTAGAAATTAATAACATTAATATACTTATTATATTTATCTTACTCATTAAAAAAACCTCTATAATTAAATCCTTAGAATAATACCCAGAAAAAAATGGAAATCCACATAATGATAATAAAGACACAAAAAATACAAGTCTAACAAAAGGATAATATCTAACTAATCTTCCCATAAATCGAATATCCTGATTATTATTTATTTGATGAATTAAAATTCCTCTACATATAAATAATAAAGACTTAAATAATGCATGAATTAATAAATGCATAAATCCTAACTCTACTTCTCCTAATCTTAAAATTCTTATTATTAATCCTAATTGTCTCAATGTAGATAACGCAATAATCTTCTTCAAATCATTCTCAAAATTAGCTATTAATCCTGCTATTATTATTGTACATCTAGAAATAAATAATATTAAACCCATTAAATGATTATTAACTAAATATCTATTATATCGTATTAATAAATAAACCCCTGCTGTTACCAAAGTAAAAGAATGAACTAAAGAAGAAACAGGTGTAGGAGCAGCCATTGCTAAGGGTAACCAAGAAGAAAATGGTAATTGAGCTCTTTTAGTAAACGCTCTCAATATTATTAATAAAGAAAAATAAAAAAAATCAAATCTATAAAATATCCCATTTCATGACCCTAAAATAATTATTAATCTAATTATTATTAAAATACCTACATCACCAATACGATTTAATAAAACTGTGATTATCCCAGAAGTAAATGACTTTCAATTATGATAATAAATCACTAAACAATAAGAAATTAATCCTAACCCATCTCATCCTAATAACAATCCTATAATATTAGGACAAATAATTAATAATAATATACTTAAAACAAACATAATTACTAATAAAAAAAATCGATTAATATTTATATCCCCCTCTATATATCTTAATCTATATAATATTACAAATCTAGAAATCATTAAAACTAAACTAAAAAATATTATAGATACTCAATCTACATAAAAAATAAATTCCATATTTATTGAATTAATACTTATAAAAACCCATTCCATTTATAATCTTAATTTCATTAATATTATATTATAATATGTGGCTATCCCTCTAATTAAAAGTCTTATATGAACAATAGATGAATAAGCTACTAATATTTTTATATCAACCTGAATTAAACACAATAATCTTATTAAAATACCTCCAATAACTCCTAAAGTAATTATTATATATCATTATTGTATTATATTAAAACTAAAAATTTGAACTATTCGCAATATCCCATATCTTCCTAATTTTAATAATACACCAGCTAAAATTATTGAACCATAAACTGGGGCTTCTACATGAGCCTTAGGTAACCAAATATGAAAAAAAAATGTTGGTAATTTAACTATAAATCCCATTAAACATAAAAAAAATATAACTCTATCTAATTTTAAATTTAAAAAAATCAATATTAAAATTATTAGCCTTTTATATTCAAAAAATAATAATATTAATACTCATAAAAAAGGTATTGAAGATACAGCTGTATATATTATTATATACATAGCAGCTTCATACCGCTCATAAGCATATCCCCCATATAAAATTAAAAAAAAAATTGGTAATAAACTAGCCTCAAAAATTAAATAAAATATTATTAAATTTATAGAAAAAAAACATAAAATCAATAAACTTGCCAAACCTAAAACTATTAATTCTATTAAACCCGCTATATTAATAATTAATATACACCCTCTAATCCATAAACTTAAAATTACTAATATATATGAATAATAATCTATGAAAAAAATTCCTCCCCTAATTCATATATTTCTAGAATAATATAGCATTATTATTAATATGTACCTCGATATATAAAATATAATAATTGATTTACTAAATTTAATATTCTTAAATTTAAATAACCTAATTCTTAACGATAATATTAAAATTAATTTTATCATACTAATCTTAAATTTTTAAGATATTCATTACCTTTATAACGAATAATTAAAACAACCACAGAAATCCCCATAACTCCTTCTATTACAAATATAACTATAAAAATCAATAAATAAAATTCCCTTCTTAAATATATTAATATTATAAAAATATTAAATAATCTAATAACAACAATAAACTCAATACAAATTAATACTATCAATACATGATCATAAAGTTTTCATATTAAAACTGAACCTATTAAAAATAAAATCAATCCAAACATATAATTTAATAAAATTTTATCTCAAATAAACTATATATAATAAATATATTATATTAAATATAAATTAATATCCTAATCAAGCTTAATAGTTTAATAAAACATAAATTTTGTAAATTTAAATTAAATATATAATTATTTTTAAGCTTTAATTTCAAAAAAATAAATAACTTTATATCTTTAATTTCCAAAATTAAAATTTTCTTTAAACTATCTTTTGCTTTTAATTAATATCACCTAATGCTAAAACCAATAATTAATTCTTTCTGTTTTATAATACTACTTATCCTACTATACTTTATTTTACACCCAAAATTATCTGTTATCCAATCAATAGTCTTATTAATATTATTTACAATTAATACTTGTCTTTCAATAAGCACTTTTTTCTCTTTTTCACTATACTCATTTTTAATTTTTTTAATAATTGTAGGGGGATTAATGATCTTATTTATAATATTTCTTAGACTTATCTCAAATCAATATATACCCTCAAAATGAAAAAGTCTATTTCTACCAATATCTATTATTTTACCCACTTTAATTACAATAATTCTTTCCCAAAAATCATCACTAACAAATTTAAATATAAACTATATCAATATATCTATTAATAATTTATTTATTAATAGATCATTTATAAACTTAAATCTTTTATTAAATTTACCTTTTAACATTTATATTATTGCCCTAATATTTTTTCTCTTATTTAATCTTATTTTAATTACAAAAATTTGTATTATTAATTCCAAACCTTTACGAACAATCAAAAAATAATTTAATGAATAAATCATTCATATATAACAACACTTTACTAAAAATTATTATAAATTCTTTTATTTCTTTACCTACTCCAATCAATATTAATTACTGATGAAATTTAGGATCTTTACTTGACCTATCTCTCTCAATTCAATTAATTTCTGGAATTTTTTTATCTATACATTACTGCCCTTCAACTGAAATAGCCTTTAATAGAATTATCTTAATTATACAAGATATAAATTATGGCTGAATCATACGTATTATTCATAGTAATGGGGCATCAATTTTTTTTATTTGTATATACACCCATATTGGTCGAGGAATCTACTATCAATCCTTTAATTTAATAAAAACATGAATTATTGGAGTTATAATCCTTCTTTTAACTATAATAACAGCATTTTTAGGGTATATACTCCCCTGAGGGCAAATATCCTTTTGAGGAGCAACCGTTATTACTAATCTAATTTCAGCAATTCCATATATTGGTCAAACTCTCGTAGAGTGAATTTGGGGGGATTCGCTGTTGATCTCCCAACACTTAATCGATTTTATTCATTCCATTTTATCTTACCATTCATTATTACATTTATAGTAATCATTCATTTAACACTCCTTCATGAATCTGGTTCTTCAAACCTTATAGGAATTAACAGAAACATATACAAAATTCTATTTCATAAAAGTTTTTCCTTAAAAGACCTTATTAATTTTATTATTTTAACTATTGCTTTTTTTTATTTTATATTTCAATATCCCTTCCTCTTAAAAGATCCAGATAATTTTATTAAAGCTAATCCAATAATTACCCCTATTCATATTAAACCTGAATGATACTTTTTATTTGCCTAATAAATTAGGTATCCCTAATAAATTAGGAGGAGTAATTGCCCTATTATCTGCAATCTTAATTTTATTAATTCTTCCTTTTATTAGATCCCCAAAAAAATTTAATCTTAAATTTAATCCCCTTTATCAAATTAATTTTTGAATACTTTTTTCAACATTTTATATACTAACTTGACTTGGAGGACAAGAAATTGAAACTCCATTTATTGAATTAACCCAATTATACTCAATCTTATATTTTATACTATTTATTAATATAAACTGACTTAATAAAATTTGATTAATACTTTTATTAAATAAATAATATTATTAACTAGTTAATAAGCAATAATGCATATATTTTGAAAATATAATTATAGAAATTAAAATTTTCTATTAACTTATTATATATAAATACTTTAATAATTCATTTAATTAAATTTTAAATTTAATGCACTAATCTGCCAATATAATTTTATTTATAAACTTGAATTTATTAAATTTAAATCTTTTTAATAGAGTAATTAATTTATTTAAATTTTTTACATTAAACTTTTTCATGTATAAATTTTACTTCTATATAATATATACACTAAAATAACTATAAATTATTATTTAAATTTTTAATTAATAAAATATTTAATTTTATTAATACATTAAATACAAATAATACTTAAAAATAAATACTATTAATAAATTTAATATAATTAATCTTAAAATATAATATCAACAAAAATATATTAAATTATCATATCGTATTCGAGGTAAACACCCTCGAATTCAAATTACTACAATTATAAACATTAATACTAATAAAATTCTAACTAAACTTAATATCCTTCCCCCAAAATATATTAATACAAATAAAATACCTAAAACTATAATTATTATATATTCTCTTAAAAAAATGAATGTAAATCTATCACTTATATATTCAATATTAAACCCAGACACTAATTCTGACTCCCCTTCAATAAAATCAAAAGGCATCCGATTTAACTCAGCTACTATACTTAAAAATATTATTATACAAACTATAAAATTTATATATCAAAATTTTAAAACCCCTCTTTGATAAACTAAAAAATCAATCAACTTAAAACTTTCCACATAAAAAAATATAACAAAAAAAATTAAAAATATTGAAACCTCATAAGATAAAGATTGAGCAACAGAACGAACCCCACCCAAAATAGCATATATTGAATTTGAAGATCACCCTCTTATTATAATAATATAAACCCCTAATCTTAAACAACTCATTATATATAATAAAAATAAATTTATACAAAATAAGTTTTCATTAAATGGAATTCTAATTACTAATATTAAAACTATAAAAAATCCAACTATAGGCCTTATATAATAAAATAAATAATTTAATTTATATAACTTTACATTTTCTTTAACAAATAATTTAATAGCATCTCTAAATGATTGAAAAATACCCAATAATAAAACCTTATTAGGACCTTTACGATCCTGAATATAACCAAGAAGTTTACGTTCTAATAATACAAAAAATGCCACCCCCACTAAAATACCTACAATTATAATAGTAACCTAATAAAAATAAAAATCATATCTTTTACATAAATTTTATCTTTAAATATATATATATATTTAACTTATAAATATCTTCTTATTTTAAATAAATATTTTAAATTTACTTCTTATTTATACATTATTTACTCTAGTATTATAAATTCATAATTTAATTTTATTCATTAAAATTAATTTTTTATTAATCTTTATTATAAAATATTTAATATTTTAAGTCCTTTCGTACAATAAAATATACTCTTTTTATAGATAGAAACCGATCTGGCTTTCACCGATCTGAACTCAAATCATGTATGATTTTAATAGTCGAACAGACTAAAAATTTAAATTTCTCCATTTAACTTTTATCATAATTCAACATCGAGGTCGCAAACAATCTTATCAATATGAACTCTCCAAAATTATAACGCTGTTATCCCTAAGGTAATTTACTCTAATAATTATAATAATAATCAAATTACTCATTAATCTATGTTTTAATTTTATTAAAGTTTAATTATTTTAACTATCCTCCCAATAAAATGTTTATTAATTAAATTTTATTAAAATAGTAATTTTAAAAAATAAATTTTATAAAATTCTATAGGGTCTTATCGTCTTATAAATTTATAAAAGCATTTTAACTTTTAATTTAAATTCAATATCATTACACTGAGGCAATTTATATTTCATTCACTCTTTCATTTCAGTTTTCAATTAAAAAACAAATGATTTTGCTACCTTTGTACAGTCAATATACTGCAGCCTTTTAATCTAAATCAATGGGCAGAATAGACCTATTATTATTACCCAATAAGCCATGTTTTTGATAAACAGGTGAATATATTTTTATAATAAATAAAATTTTTGTCAAATTCCTTAATATAATTTTAAAATAATTAATTAATTATACAATATTTAAATTTACTAATTTAATCATTATAACATTTACTTTATTATTAAATAATTTTTTTTTATATAAATAAAAACTCTATATCAAATCTATTAATTATATTAATATATAAATTATAACATTTTTTTTTAAAAATCCAAATTTTATAGATATTCCTATTATTTAATTTCATATTTAAGTTATTTATATATCTTTAGTTTATCCCAAAAATAGTTAATTTATAAATTTATACATATAAAAACAATTTTTATCCTTATAATTTATAAATCTGAATTATATTCAATTCTAAAAAAACTAGATATATTTAAAATCGATTAACATTTCATTTCTATTTAAAAATTATTAATAATATTTCTACACTAACTAAAATTTTTAAATAAATCTATTAAATTCGAGAAATATTTAAATCTAAATATTTTTTTTAATTAACCCTTATACAAAAGGTACAATATATAAAATTTACTTTTTTATTTTTTTAAAAAATCATTTTCATTACTATCAATAACATCAATTTTATTTATTCTTACTTTATACTTTAACTAATAATTTTAATATTACTTTATTTAAAAATAATTATTACAACAAATTATATTAATTTATTTACAAAATCTATCCCTCCTATATTATAAATTCATTTAATTTATTTATTTATTTTAATTATTTAATTTTAAAAAATTTTAATTAATTTTATATTAATTATACTATTTATTGTAAATAAATTATTTTTATAAACTAAAATTTTTAAAATTTTTATCAATAGGCACTTTCCGGTACTTAAACTTTGTTACGACTTATTTCATTTTATTGAAAGTGAATTCAATTTGTGAATTGCAATTTGTACATATTTAATTTATTATTCAATTTAATTAATTAATTAAATTTACTTTTAAATCCATTTTCATAAAAAAATTAAATCTTTTAATTCAATAATTAAATTAATTGTAACCCATATTAATCTTAATTAAGCTATATTTTGACTTGAATTATTTTATTAAATTTTATAAATTATATTTATCTAACTTAATTAAATATTAAAAACAGCAATACATAAACTTAAAATTAAGTATATCTTATCGTGGATTATCAATTACTATACAGGTTCCTCTAAATATTAAATACTGCCAAATCTTTTAAATTTAATGACTTACCATTTAATCTCTTTTAAATTATCATTACATTTATTATAATAGGGTATCTAATCCTAGTTTATTATATAAATTTTATAAAATTAAAATTTTTTAAAATTTTAATAATAATTTATTATATTTCACCAAATAATTAATTATTAATTAAACTTAGCTTTAAAAATAATTTTTATTTAAAATATTTAATTAACTTAAATAAAATAGTCTAACCGCTGATGCTGGCACTAATTTTTCCTATCTTTATTATTTTTATCTTACTCTAACTTTCATTAACTTTAATAAAATCTAAATATTACTTAACTTATAATTTTTTAATAATATATTATATAGTATTAATAAAATTTAATTAATTTATAAGCAAAAATTAAACTTTAATATTTTTATAATTTTTTTATCAAATATAAATCTAACGCTTAAAAATTAAAATCAATTATTTTATATATTATATTAAATTAAATCTATATACATATATACTTAATATATATGTATATATATATATTAAATTTATTAGTATATTAATAACATATTAATTTATTAATAAATATTTATATAACTTAAATAATTATAATTTATAATTTATACTTGTTAATACTTTATTTTTATATTAAAATTAAATTTTTATAATCATATAATCATTTTTTAAAAAAAATTTATAAATATTTTCTTAATATAATATAATCTATATTAATATACAATGAAAGATTATTAATTTAAAATATAAAATAATTATATTAAATTTATATTATAATTTACAATAAATAAATAATAATTTATAATCTTAATTAATATAATAATTACCTATCTACATTATTAAAGAGTATAAGAATAATTATTTTTACTTTATTTAAATTTTTTCATATTTATCGAATATATGCTATAATATGTGACATATCTTAAATTATTTATTAATTAGGAGAATAATTACTTTATTTAAATTTTTATATTTTATTATATATATATATTTATTATAAATATATATATATATATATATATATATATATATATATATATTAAAATTTTCATCAAATATCAAAAAATTAATAAAATTTTACTTTTAGATTTTTTTTACTTAATTTAAAGAAAAAATATAATTTTTTTTACCAAAAAATTAATAATTTTTAATTTTTATATATCTGTGTCGAGAATCTCACGTTTCATTGATATTACATGCTAATTCTCCGTTGCTGTTCATATTGAATCCTCTCATGTACCTTATTTTCATGTTATTCTCTTTTATATGCATCGATAAAATTCGTTTTCAAAGGTATGGAAAGATATTTAAACTTTTCATGTTTCGCCGATGAGCGTATAAGGGGCGCAAAGAGATGTGAAACTTAACGAAATGATTTCAAAAACCTTCAATCCGTTTAAATCGAGACTTGATTCTTATGTAATGCAGTCTCATGAAATGGTAGGTAATATTTCCTGAACTGTGAAACACCTCCTTTTCGAATAATTTCGTCTTTTATCTACTTGTGTTGAGAATCGCATGTTTCTCTGATATTTAGCGCTAATTTTCCTATGCTGTATTGTATTCTTGCATACACTTTATTTTCTGGTTACTCTGTTTATTCTGCGGCGATAGGAACCGTTTTAATCGGAATTAGAAGAGATTTTAACTTTTTATGTTATTTCGACGGGCGTATTCGTGTGAAGAGGCGAAAAACTTATCTAAATGATTTCAAAAACCTCGTATCCATATAAAACGAGACTTGATTTTTATGTAATGGAGTCTTATGAATCGGATGGTAACTTTTTCTGAACTGTGAAACAGCCTGTTTTCGATTTATTTCGTTTTCTATTTATCTGGGTCAATATTATTTCTGATATTATGTACTATTTATCCGATACTATATGTATTATCGCATGCACTTTATTTTCTTGTTACAATCTTTATTTTGCGTTAATAGAATCTATTTTCAAAGGATTCGGACGAAATATCAGCTATCTCTGTTTCAACAGTGAACGAATACAGGCAAAGAGGTGTAAAACATAACGAGATGATTTCAAAAATCTCTAATCAGTTTAAAACGAAGCTTGATTCGTATGTTACGCAGTCTGTTGAATCGTAAGAAACATTTTCTGAACTGTGGCAAAACTTTTTTACAAGTTATTTCTTTATTTATCTATGTCGAGAATCGCTAGTTTCACTGATATTATACGCCATTGCTGTTTGTATTATATCATAGCATGCACTTTATTTTCTTTTATCTGTGTCGATACAATTCGTTTTTAAAACGAATCGGTCGAGATTTCGACTTTTCATATTCCGGTGATGGCCGTATACAAGCGGAAAAGCGTAAAATGTAACGAAGATTGCGTTTTCCGGTGATTTAGTACCGCTCACAGCTATTATTTTCTCTAATATATACTTTATTAAAGTACTTCACCGAGTTCCTTGATGTTAGGGGTTGGGGTCACATCACTTTCCTCTGTTATCACTGGTTGATGATTATTCATGTTCGCACATGGCTCTTTGATGTCCGCAGAGTCTTCCTTGTTGTTTCCTGGTGGCGTTAGCGGTCCATGTGTAAAAAGAGATGTAAAACGAACTCCAAACAGCCTCTAGCAAGTGTAGACTCCAACCATATACCGTATAGTATATGTGAACACCCTCGGATTATCGTGTCTATACAGAGTTTTATCCCTTTAATCATGAAGAACAGTCCGATTACTCCAGCACTTGTCGAGTTGAATGCTAAAAATCCCTGCCACAGTAACGAGATGGCATTCTCCGTGATCTTATTGAGATCAAATTTCCCTAGCAAGTTGTACAGCGATATTTTTTACATCGAACGTGATGTCCGATATCTCCTTTTGCTATTGCATTCAGGAGTTTCGATCTCTCGGCTCAGAACATAACGTGGTTGCGTAAATTTTCTTTCTTGCTGCGAATAGATTCTACTTGTCATTAGGTGTTGCGTGTCTGTATACTTCCAAATGGGTTTTGTCAATGGACGAAGGATTTGTGGGGTAGGAGGACTTTGACCGACTCAGGTGTGAGTCGACATCTACTCGCCTCCATAAAGAACATTGGTGGCAATAAAGTGTTACATTCCCTGACGGTTCCCGTTTTCATTAATACTCTTGATTTGGGTGTTATTCTGTTGGTACATCGAGATTGGTATTCTGTTGTTACATCGGGAGTTCATTCTTCCGATGATCTTACTTTGACGGGGGTTGTAGTTGACTATGTGTATCACTTTTCTCGCCGTCACAGCCATATAATCTGCCGATCTCATTACCGTATATGCGAATTCATCAGGGCAGAGCATAGCCAGTGCCAGAGCGTTCTTCAACACCTGATTCTCTAGCTCAAAGTTTTGTTTAATGACGTCACTGTACAACGCAGTCATTTGGTTTCGCATATGCTTCTTCAGGTAGGCAAATTTAGGGTTGATTTACAACAAATTAAGGCCTTCGGCTAAGAGTTTCGTTTTGATAGTGAATGTCTTACGCCTGCGTGTCTCTAGTTATGAACTACTCTAGTAATAACTACGAGTGCTTGTTTTTCAACAACATGTATATACACAAATGATATTCTGTCTTTTTTCCCGAAGTGAAAGTGACGTCATGAATGGTAAGTATGTAAATGTCAGGGAATATCTCTGTCTAACTTGAGACTGTTAATTTGGTTGCCAAAATCTTATAAAATACATTATAGTGTTCAAAGTTATAAGTTGTATCAGATTGCGTCGTCCAGTAGGCATTGCCCTCCTCGTCCGTGACGCAAGCACCTTCCGTAAGTATGCATATGGTTCCCT